ACTACAAATTCAAGATTTTAAAAATTTGATTCGTTCCGCTCTATGAGGTCAACGGCTCAAAAACTATATTCGTCACTAATTACCTCCTCCCTCGTTGCACCCCTTCCCCTTCTCTTCGTCTCCCATTAGCACCTATCACCATTTGCTGTGACTAAAAATCATTGGCGACGTGCACCGAGCGAGTCCATGCGATCACGAGTTTTTGCAGTATTTCGTGCTGTAATGAGATCGCTCGGAAACCTAGTAGCTTGGGTTTGTGAAATACTGGTCCTCGAAGTTCAGGAAGTTAATTGTCTATGCGATGCTTGGACAGGGAACATTCCGTTAAAATCTCAGCTTTCCAACTTCTCTGGTTCTCGTTCTTGAGTTAGCAATTTTCCTGCCAAAAAATTTCATGGGTCCGTAAATGAGAACTACACGTATCTGGGAGCTGAATTTGATGTCCTTAACTTTTACAGGGGGCTGGGAAGAGGTCCTTAAAATTTCAGCCCCAGCTTCCCTATTTCCCGAGTTTGCCGTCTTTCCACCAAAAAATTTTACGGGGTCGTACATGAGAACCACACATGCCCGCAGGCTGAATCTGACAAATTTTTGTTGCACATGTGCTAGGAACATTCCCTGAAAATCTCAGCCTTCTAGCTTTTCTGGCTCTCGAGCTAATCATTTTCCCGCCAAAAAATTTCACGAGGCCGTAATTGAGAACCACGCATGCGTGGGGCCCGGACTAGATGACTTTAAGTTGCACATGTGCTGGGAACACTCCCTGAAAATTTCAGCCTCTCAGCTTTCCTGGTCCCCAAGTTAGCGATTTTCGCGTCAGGAACCCTCACGGGACCATACGTGGGTACCATGCACACCTGGGAGCTGAATTTGAAATCTTTGAGTTCTGTGTGGACAGGGAACACAACCTCAAAATTATAGCTTTTCAGCTTCCCTAGTTAGCGATTTTCCCGCCAAAACCTTCACCCCCTTGCACGCGGGGCCCAGACCTGCTTGAGGGTTGGTACCTCGGTCGGGGAAAGCACTGCCAAAATTTTGGCGTCGGAGGTTGTTTGGATGCCGAGTTGAAATACCCGGACACACACACACACACACACACACACATACATACACACACGGAGGTCGTCACAGTATGCGTTTTTGCATTTGGCATATAAGCAAAAATGCACAACTAGGACTCAGTTAATCTTTTGTTGCGAAATGAAGCAAACAGTTAATCTAAATTTTAAACATTAATCCACCGCACTGTACGAATTGAAAGAGAAGGATCTGCCATCAATTTTTCCGTAAAACTATGACCTTGTTTTCAGCTTTAAATTGCTTTATTAGTAAAAAAAGACCATCAAAAAGCAGTAGTACAAACTGTTCGACATCCATTCGGTAATTCCGTCTACGGCGCGTCAAAAGTTACTAGAAGGGAAGAGATACAAAATACTAAAAAAAAAAAAAAAAAAATGACAAAATGCAAAAGTATGACACCGGGATAGAAGAAAACAGCATATTTTGCTTTGGATAATGATAACTTCGGAAGCTTGTTGCATCCTGTGGTAAAGTACTACTGCAACAAATTCAGCACTACAAATTTAAAGCAATAAAGTTAATCAAATTTTTGAATTTATCTTACAAAATGAGCAAAAGACTGAAAACGGAGCAATGAAATTGAAGAACTGAGTGAAGCATGAACCTCTCCCTCCCTTAAAACCCAACAAAGTGGAAAAATAAGAAGTGCGAAACGGTTCCCGCGCAAGAATGTTGAAAGAGCCGCCGCCAAAAATATCGCAGGATTTACTTATATGTTCAAACGGTATTTCAAGACGGACTTCTAAGAAAACCAACACAATATTCAGGATTTGGACGAGATTTCAGTTAAGCATGAACCTGCTTTGTTGGAAAATTGGAGGACATGCAGTGAGCTGTCCTTCCCTTTCCACAGCACGTTACCACCAGCCTTCTCCAGACCAACATTATCGAAAAAGGTGAAACAGCAAAACCGAAACAGTAACCCGAGAAAAACCTCTACAGCCTGGTAACTCTGTGAACTATCGTCCTACCTATGCAGAATTGACTTCAATATAGTAAAAAATGCTGAAAGCTGCACTGAATTATTTCGAATAAAGAATCATAGATGAGTACGTTACTTTAAATGCAACAATTTTTATGGGTTTTTGCTGCGCAGCGATACAGCGCTGCTACAGCCAGCAAAAACGCACATTGCCGAGAGGTTGTCTGTGCGTGTGTTCAGAAGCGAGTAAACTTTGTCATCCATTTTCATTTCAGCAGTCAGGAAAGCTGGAAGGCTGAAATTTTGGGTATATGTTCCTACCCCGTGTGTCACCCCCCGTTTTAAGATCTTCCCCCAAACGCGCCTAGACTTTGCGTACGAACTCCCGAAAAAATATCCAGTTTTCTTCGGCGGGGAATAGTTTCGCGAACCAGGCAAGGTACGAAGCTGAAAGTTTGAAGGGACATTCTCTGTGCATGAGCGAGCTATATATTTCAAATTGAGCAGTGGCGCACTCTTGTACAGCGCGTACGACCACATCAAAGTTGCAACTTGGTACTGTGCTAACTCGAAAACTTGTCGAAAAACAGTGGCTGAAATTTTGTCAACATGTCTGACGCCATATGGAAAATCGTGTACCTAAAATGCGTACCGATCTTCAGTTGCGCCACGATTTAGGGTACTTCAAACATATTTGTAACGAAGTGGATATTTCGCTTAACCGGTAAGGTGCGGGGCTGAAACTTCACTGGGATATTCTACTTTCAAGTGCGGTCTCAATTCTGCTTGGAGGAGAAATTTCCTACTCAACTTTACCGAAAAATCAGAAATGAGTGTGTTTTGCAGCGAACGACCGCTCTCATCCAAATATGTAAATGAACATCCAGTTCAGTTGCATATTTGGATTTTTTGACGAACGACCGCTCTGGCAACATTTCCACTTTTTAGTGAACTGGAAATCCGCATTTTTCATTTTTTCAAAAAGCGACCATTTGTCAAAAAAAAAAAAAAAAAACCATGCTTCATGCAAAAAAACTGATAA